GCAACCGTGTCGAAAGGAGCGCGGAAGCCCCAAGTGAGAGCGCGATTGTTTGATAAATCGTGAGGGAATATCAAGCGGGAGCCGCGATCCGGTGGTAAATTGCAAGGAAGTCTTAAGCGAGAGCGCGATTCTTCAATACATTGTAAGGAAATATCAAACGGGAGCCGTTGTTGTTGTAAACCGGGGGCCAACGACACAATTTGACCCTCAAGACTCTCCTTGATAACAAAAAAAACAGGGTGCGAGCACCGGGAAAGGCACTTCAATCGAAAAAACAATGTGCACCGGACGGGGGGATCGACAATAATTATTCTTCAGAAGTGAGGGTTCAACAATAAGTGCAATACTTGTCGCTTTGACCTGCCCGCTTGCCATTCAACACTCATATCCCAATGCCTCGATACCCGCCCTCGTCTTCGATCGCCCCCCCTTGTGGGTACGTATCTTACCTGCAACGTGTATTTCGCGCAGCCCCTCAGGCAGGGGAAGATGGGACGGATGGAAGGAAGGGATAAAGGAGAGGGATGAGGATGGAGCGCGAGAGAGCAAAACAGGAGGGGGGCTGGGAGCAGAAAGCACGTGGCAGAACCAGACGGGCAGATCGGGCGGGTAGGGCCACCTCCCCCCAGAGACCCTAAACCAGAGATGTGACCCCCTCCTGGCCCCGGACGAACGCGCCATGGGAGCATAGAGGGCCCCAAAACGGGCCAAGAGGGCCCCAAGTGGGCCTTAAGACGATCAATAGGGCCCCGAATCGTCGAATGATTGTTCCAAGACGCCCAAGATGGCATCCAGACGGCCCAAGATGCCTCCAAAAAAGCCCCAAGAGGCCTCCAAGAGGCCTCCCAAAAGGCACCGAAGTGGAAATTGCCCCATTCCCGTCGGAAAACGTATGTTTTAAACATATTCGCCTCTTGCGATTGCATGCCGTGCAAGACGGCCCAAAAGACCCCTAGGACAGCTCCAAGATAGCCACCAGGGTCCCAAGACCTCCAAAGAAGCCCCGATGACGGCCCCCGGACGGCGCCAAAAGGGGGCCCACGGGGGAACCCGAACCCACATTTCCAGCCTTCGGCCCCAGGACGCCCCCAGGTTTCCTCAAGAAACCCCCAACACGCCCCAAGAAACCCCCAGGGAGCCCGAACAGAGCCCCAAAACGCCCCCAAGAACCTCACAGGAATCGGACAAGCCTCGCAGAATGCAGTGCTGGACATGCATTAGTTTATAGAGGGGTCGGCGGATGTGGCGTAAGCCTATAGAATCGCGAGCGATAGCGCGACTCCCAAATTAATCGTAAGATAAGACAAAGCGAGAGCGTAACTCCTGAATGTCGAGGGCGCGGCGTCTAAATAATTGCGGGAAGTACCACGCGAGAGCGGGATCCCTGCATAAGTTGTGAGGCAGTCCCGCGAAAAAGCGCGACTCGGGAATATATTGTGAGGAATTTTCAGGCGCAAGTCGCTGTTGTTGTAAGCCGGGGGACAAAAACACAATTCGGAGGCCCAAGACTGATATACAAGGTGCGAGCCCCGGGAAGGGCACTTCGATTGACAAAGCACCATGTGCCCTGGAGGGGGGGCCAACAACAATTATTCTTTAGAGATGACAGTTCGTTATGATCCGCTCGTGTGCCATACCACACGTATATCCCAAACCCTCGATATCCGCCCTATTCGTCTTCGATCCTACCCCCGTTGGGAGTATAGATCTTCTTTACATGCAACATGTATTTCGTGCAGCCCCTCAGGCAAGAGAAGAGAGGACGGATGGAAGGAAGGGACAAGCGGGAGGGAGGAGGATGGAGCACGAGAGAGAGTGGCAAGAGAGGGGCTGGGAGCAGAAAGCACGTGGCAGAACCAGACGAGCAGATCAGGCGGGTAGACCGTAACGGGCGGGTATGGAAGGCTGGCCCAGGCGGCCAGGTAGAGCAGGCGGGTTGCTGAAGCGTGCGTCCTGCATGAATCTCGAGGAAGTCGAAAACGATAGCGCGATTCCCAAAGAAATCGTAAGAAAGACCACACGAAAGCGTGACTCCTGTGATGTCGTGGGCGCAGCGTGTGAAGAAATTGCGAGGAGGTCCCCCGCGAGAGCGCGATTCCTGCATAAGATGTGGAAAAGTCCCGCGAGAGAGCGCGACTTGGGAATACACCGTGAGGAATTATCAGACGGGAGCCGCTGATGTTGTAGCCGGGGAACCAGGGGCAGAGTTTGATGACACCTCATGTTTCCTTGTTCAAGACAGGGTGCGAGCCACGGGAGAAGCATTCAAATTCAAAAACGAAATGGTTAACGGGCACAGGGGGGTCAACAACAACTGTTTAGAAATGAAAACTCAACACCCACAACAACAACGACCATTTTAAGACTTCACTCTTTCCCGCTCGCCTGCCATTCAATGCGTTTATCGCAACCCTCGATACCCGCCCTCTTCGTCTTCGATCGTGCCCCTTGGGATTATATATATATATATTATATATATATATATATATATATATATATATATATATAATCATGTTTACCTGCAGCGTGTTTTGTGCAGCCCCTGAGGCAGGGGAAGAGAGGACGGATGGAAGGAAGGGACAAGGGGGAAGGTGGAGGATGGAGCATGAGAGAGTGGCAGGAGGGTGACCCGGAACAGAAAACACGTTGCAGGATTGGAAGGCGGGCCCAGGCGGCCAGGTCGAGCAGGCGGGTTGCTGAAGCGTGTCCTGCATGAATCTCGAGGACATCGAAAGCGATAGCGCGATTCCCAAATAAATCGTGAGGAAATCCACAGCGAGAGCGCGAATCCTGAGGGTCGAGGGCGCGGTGTCTGAATCAATTGTGAGGAAGGCCCACGCGAGAGCGCGGTTCCTGCATACATTGATTGTGAAGAAGTCCCGCGCGAGAGCGCGACTTGGAAATAAGCTGTGAGGAAGTATCCGGCGAGAGCCGCTGCTGTTGCAAACCAGGGGGCAACATGCAAATTCTGAGACTCAAGGCTGTCCCTGATAAAAAAAGGTGCAAGTCCTGGGAAGGGCACATCAATTGAACAATCACCATGAGCCACGGTGGGGGGGCCAACAAGATTTATCAGAATTGAGAATCCAGCAGCAACAGCAACAGCAGCAGCAGCAACACCAACAGCAACATCATCATCAGCAGCATCATCATCAGCATCAGTACCATCAGCAATCAGCAATCAGCATCATCATCACCATGACCTCCGTCATCATCGCCATCATCGTTAGCATCAACATCGCCATCGCCGACGCCATCAGCAACATCATCAACAGCACCATCATCATCAACATCATCATCACCGTCAGCATCATCATCCACGGCATGATCGTGATCATCATCACTACCATCAGCAGCATCATCAGCATCTTGATCAGCATCATCATCACCATCAGCACCACTGCATCATCATCATCACATGCACCATGAGCAACATAGTCATCATCACCATCATCGGAATCGAACCGTCCACCACATAGTCATCATAATCACCATCATCATTATCATCATCAGTATCTTCGTCATCAGCAGCAGCAGCGTCATCAGCAACATTATGATCATCAGCAACCGAAGCCGCCTCATCATCAACCAATCAGCATCATCATCATCATCATCATCATCATCATCATCATCATCATCATCATCATCATCGTCAGCATCATGATCATCATCAACATCAGCAGCATGAGCAACAACAGTATCATCATCACCTTCATCACCACCAGCCTCATCCTTCTCATCCTCCCCCACCTCCTTTACATCCTCCTCACCCCCTCCTTCTCCTCATCCCCCTCCTCCTCCTCCTCCTCCTCCTCCCTTTCCTCCTCGTCATCTTCCTCCTCCTCCGCCTCCTCCTTCTCCGCCCCCTCCTCCTCCCTCATCCCCCATCTCCGCCTTCCCACCCCCCTCCCCCCCACCGCTTCCTTTCCTCCTCGCTCCTTCGGTACACACTGCTACGTAGCCGTGGGCGTGGCGACTCCGCTGGCCGTCGGGTGGGCCACCATGAACGCTGTCGCCTCCAAGCGGCAACAATGACGCGCCCGCAGAAACGGCCACATTCAGCAGTTGCATTGGTGCACTGCGCGGTCGCTCCATTGGAGCCTCGCGTCCCCAGATCCGAGAAGAACACGAGGTATCTCCAGGGGTATCAGGAAACCGCCCGAAGACGTGCGACCATCATCGAAGAGATTCGAACTGATTCTCCTGATCATCAAACGTCTCATCCTCATCTGCCGCATCCTCCCGGTCCTCGAAATCCTCCTCCTCCTCCTCATCATCACCACAACCATAATCATCATCATCGTCGGAAACAGCAGCATCAACGTCGCCTTCAGCATAATCGTCAGCAGCAGCCTCCTCGTCAGCATCATAAATCACCCTCACCCTCCTCATCAACAGCATCGGCGGCGACATCGACATCATTAGCATCATCACGATCAGCATGATGTTCATGATCCTCCTGATCATGATCATGATCATAATCATCATCAGCATCATCGTCATCATCCTCGTGATCATCACCATAACCATCAACACCATCAACAGCAGCATCACCATGGCCATCAGTAAAACCATCCAGCGCATCAAGCTCCGCCTCCTCATCATCATCATCATCATCATCATCCGCCGCCGCCTCGCCATCACCATCATCATCAACATCATCACCATCATCAGTATCACCATCATCGTCATCAACAGCATCGTTCTCCTCATCATCGTTACCGTCATGATCACCATCAGCATCATCATCAGCATCAGCATCATCATCATCAGCATCATCATCATCATCCGCAGAACCATTACCATCATCATCATCACCATCATCGTCAGCATCATCCGCATCCGCATCCCCATCACCATCATCATCATCATCATCATCATAATCATCATCATCACTTTCATCATCATCATCATCAGTATCATCATCACCATCATCACCATCGTCATCAGCAGCAGCAGCCGCATCCCCCGCGTTGTCTTCCGCCTCCTCCTCATCATCATCACCTGCCCCACCCCTCCAGCTTCGAGGGCAGGAGGTCGACGGCGATGATCTGGGAGGCCCCAGCCTTCACCAGCCCCTCGACCACGCTCAGGCCGACGGCCCCCAGGCCAAACACCGCGGCGGTGGCACCCTTCTCCACCTCTGGGGAGCGAACAGACCCTGCTCGTCACGGGAGGAGGCGGCAACATGCCAAGATTATTGATCACAGCGTCAACCGAGAGGCCCATGTTGAAAAGGATCGGCTCCCCAACTGTGGAACCTCATCATGTTCGATGTCCTACCTGCCCCTCTGCCCCACCCCCTCCCCCATGATCCCTCCCTGCCCCGCCACCCACCCATGCCATACATAAGTACTCCTCCCCGGTTCTCATACGTATCATCATCAGCAGCAGAAGCATCGTCATCATTATCAGCGTCAACACACTGATTATCGGTCGCATCGTCGCCATGAGCATAAGCATCACAAACGTGGCTGTCATCAGCACAAGCGGCAGCGCCTGAAGCAGTCATCATCATCATCATCATCATCACCATCATCATCATCATCATCATCATCGTCATCATCAACATCAGCATCATCATCAGCAGTAGCATAATCAGCATCAGTATCAACATCATTAGCATTATCATTAGCAGCATCAGCATCATCATCATCAGCAGCATCATCGCCATCACAACCATCAGCATCATCACCAGCATCAGCATCAGCATCAGCATCCTCACCAGCGTCATCATCAGTATCATCATCGTCAGCACAATCATCAGCATCATCATCACCACCACCACCATCATCAAAGCATCAGTATCGTCATCATCAGCATCTTCATCGTCACGGGCACCATGAGCATCATCATGATCATCACCACATTCATCATCACCATCATCATCACCAGCATCGCCAAAACTTATACCAGCATCGGCATAAGCATCCTCACAATCGTCAGCATCGGCAGGGGCGGCATGATCGTGATCGCCATACTGACCACCACCACCACCACTACCACCACCGCGTTCATCCGCAACAGCACGTCCATCATCACAATCGGCGCCATGATCAGCGGCACCAGCAGCAGCAATATTACGCTAATCAGTGTCAGACTCATCATCACCGGCACCATCGACACCATCAGCAGCAACAGCATCAGCAGCATCATCATCATCATCGTCGCGGCAGCTCCTCGTTCCTGCAACCGTGCCTGATCATGATTATCCTCCTCTTCCCCCTTCACCTTCCCCCTCCTCCTCCTCCTCATCCTCCTTCACATCCTCCTCCTCCACAGATCCTCCCCCCTCCTCCTCCTCCTCCTCCTCCTCCTCCTCCTCTTCCTCCTCCTCCTCCTCCGCATCCCCCCATTCCTCCCCTTCCTCCTTCTCGTCCTCCTCCTCCTCTTCTCCTCCTGTTCCTCCTCCTCTTCTCTCTCCTCTCCTCTCCTCCTCCTCCACCCTCCTCCTCCTCCCACCTCCTCCTCCTCCTCCTCCTCCTCCCCTCCTCCTCCTCCCCCCCACCCCGGTCCCCCTCTATCCTTCCCTCCTCCTCCTCCTCTCCTGCTCATATTGCTGCTGCACCTGCTGCTATCATCATCATCATCATCATCGTCGTCGTCATCATC